TCTCTTCCAATAACTTGTCAAGGTGCCATAGAGGGGAATTTATTTAGATCTTGGATCTCTTCCAAAACTTGTCATAGAGTTCATGGAATTTATTTCCATAGGGTTCCGCGTCACTTAATTTTGATTTTAATTTATAATATTAGATTTGCTTTTCTTTGTTTAAAGTATAATTTATCATTAAACTTAATGCTTTCAGGCAAAATTTCTCCCATGGATTGATTTATTTCATTAATCACTATCGGGAGAAAGGTTTTTGATATGAAAAGGGTAATAATTTACATAAGAGTAATCACTTGATGCGAAAGCTATATGGTTTGACTCATGGGGGATTTTCATAAGTTAACAACCTTAGGTTATGAATTCATAAACAAATTATAAAAATTAATAATTTAATTCATGTTCAATTACGCTATTGGAAGATAGGTAATCAGATCGGATTAAAATAGCTCACAATATATCAGGAGAGCTTTTTAGTGATTTTCGAGTTGTTTCCCCTACTTGAACAATTAAAATTGATTATCAAACTAATAAAATAAATTGAATAGAACTAAATGAAATCGAAATCCCTAGTAGCTTTTAATTTTTGATTTCTTTTCATCAAATTATCTTGCTCGATTTTCTTTTTATTTTCTTAAAATAATTCTCATTATTGTCGTTTAAATAATAATAAGTTAACACAATTTTAATACTTAGTATAAAATTTTTATGGAATAATATTCTACTCATTCTTAATTTTAATACTTAGTATAAAATTTTTATGGAACAATATTCTACTCATTCTTTATTACTTATTACGATTTCATGCACTTGCAAAAAAACTTGTCAATATTAAAAGCGTATTACTATTATTATTTTTTGTTTTCCACTTGTAATGTCAATGTTTTCCTTATTTTTGGTTTTTCACATGTTTACATTTTATTAAAAGAAAAATTTACGTTCTTTGAATTTTCAGATAATGTTTATCTAAAGCCAGTAGTTGAGATGTGTCCGTATAAAAAGGATTACGTCACATTTCTTAGATATTGAACTTTACTGAAAACATGTGTAATTAGTACTTATTCTAAAATTGGTACACTTGTAAATCCAAACAGTACAAAATGTAGGCAATCTAACGTAATTGCACATTTTTAACGTTAACAATTCGGTTTAAATTTTTCTACAAGCAAAATGTTAGTAATTTTAAATCATGGAATAAGGACCAATTTGGCACTTGAATTTGTTTAGCAAGATTAAGAAAGTCAAATTTAACCTAAACTTATTTAAATGATTAAAAAGATCAAATTTGACATTTTATATCAATTCAACCCCAAATTTTTCACTATATTTATAATGTAAGAATCTTTGTATAGACTTTAGTAAAATTATAGTTGGAATCATGATGTATAATCAATTTAAAGATTAATTAAATATGAAATGGAGAAAAATGATATATGAAGTATATTATATATCTCTCTTTACTTTAGCCGATGATTTTCAGTTCTATGTATTAATTTGAATTTTATAAACTAACCTTTATTACTGGATAATTGCATATGAAATCCATGTACTTTTTGTGTTGAACAAATAAAAATTTATATTACTTATTTTGCAAATTTAGTGTATTAGAAGCAATGATGCTTTATGAAAACTTCTATTTAGAAGAGTAGGAAAAAATTTGATATGGATATTCCTTTGAAATTGACTCAGTTCATTAATTTGTAAAAATCATAATAATTTCAGGAATTAAATTTGCTTAAAAGGTCAAATTTGATATTTTTTTTATCCTGTTAAACAAGTTCATTAGTCATATTGACATTTATTCCTTAAATAATTGCTAATATAATTATTTTTCTCCATTCATTATCTTAATTTTGGATTAAAGTCATTAAATGACATTATTGGATAAAAAAAGTATAAGATTTTTTACTTCAAAATAAGGGTGTAGTTATTGTAATATGTGTTTTTTTTTTTTTTTAAATTTAACAACTAATTGAACATTTATTTTTGCATATCATTTCTGCTTTATATTACTATATAAAGAGCTAACAACTATTTTTACATAAAAATTTATATAGTGGGAACAGGGAGGAATAATGGAATTCCGATAATATTTTTAATAAAATTTAAAATATGCTAAAATAACCTTAGTCATTAGCTAATTAGAAAATTACACTTTATTAGTTGATTGGATATATTTATAAAATTATTTTTTAAATAATATGCTAAAATAACCTTAGTCATTAGCTAATTAAGAAAATTACACTTTTATGTAGTTTGATTGGATATATTTTAAATTTAATTTTTTAAATAAACAAATATATATTATATAAATATATATATATATATATATAATATACTCATTTTCAAAATTTTAAGTTTTAAATTCTTTTTAAAATTTATTTTGAATAATATAATATGATAAAGAGACATTTGAAAACTTTTTATTATTTTATTTTAAAAAATATTTATCTATTTTTAATTATAAATTTATAAATATTTTTATTTCGGAGAGAAATAAAAAGAAAAAAATATATTTTTATTAAATATTATTTTTTTATATTTTTTATAAATTTAATTGGATATAATTTTTTTCAAAGAAATAAAAAATTTCAAATAAAATATACATAATATTTTATATGCAGGAGAGAGGAAAAAAATTGATATATTTTGTATTAAATACTTTTTTCTTTATGTTTGTATGATTTGAATTGGGTATTATATTTTCAAAAAAATATAAATTTTCAAAATAGAATACACATAATCAAATCTTAAAAATTTTTTAAATTTTAACTTTTCAAATATTTAGTTTTAATAAAATGGACATGTGGTGTAATGTGGAGATTGTCAAACAATTTAAAATTTTAATTTTTAAAAATATATATAATATTGTATTTGATATATTATATATCTATATATATTGATTTTTTTTTTGTTAGGTGAAGCTCCGAAAAGAGTTTTATTCAAAAAAATAATTTTTTATTTTGTTATTTTTTATTTTCTTTTTCCTTTACTATAATAATTTGGGTAACTATTATCAAATTTTAATTTAATAAGAAACTTGTAACTCCTTGATATATTTATATATCTATATATATTGATTTTTTTTTTGTTAGGTGAGCTCCGAAAAGAGTTTATTCAAAAATAATTTTTTATTTTTTATTTTTTATTTTCTTTTTCTTTACTAAATAATTTGTAACTATTATCATTTTAATTTAATAAGAAACTTGTACCTCCCTTGCATGGCCTCTTGATGATCAAGCACTTTTAAATTTTTTTGATATCCTAAATTTGCTTGACTTGAAAAAAAATAGTGTTTAAGAAACTGAAAAAAACAACTAGAACTATATATTTCTATTTTTGGTCACTTTTTTTATAAAGAATTTGTGTGTATATGCATATATTCCTTTCTTTAATACACAGTACTGTTGTAGCCAAAATAATTACCATTATCAATTTAGTTTGAGACAACTTTATTATATAAAAATAGAATTAAGTACAAAAGAAGTAGTATTACAAGTAGCTTTTTATGGTAAGTGTAATACATATTAATCGCTTATATTTATCTTAATTTAAATAAAAATTTATGCGTTAATATTATATAGATAAACAAATTAAAATACTATAAAAAATGAGTATATAACTAGCATAATCAACGTGCAATGCACCTCATAAAAAATCATAGCATATATATGTGTGTGTGTGTGGGAATGGAGAGTGAAACATTGGGATTGATAAAATATAACTCTATTAATTTTATAATTGACAAAAATATTTTTAAAGATTTTAATTTTTTTGGTTGAAAAAATAAAAATAGTTAAATTTGATTGATTAATTAATTTTTTATTTAAATCTAAATTTTATTGGATAAACATTCTATAATATATTTTGTTTCATAATTTTATATATATACATAACACATACAAGTTCTCAACATGTAGAAATTTCTTTTTTGTTTTTTTTTTTTTTAAAAATCGTCAACGTGTTTCTCATTAATGTATTAAACGATTACAATTAATAAATTATACATAAATAATAAATTAATAAATTAAATATATATTATGAATTCTAATTGGGAATATATTAAATTCTTATTAGAAAGTTTTGTCTAATTTTAATTAGGAAGTATACCCTTATTGTGGGAGTTATGTCCTATTATATTCTTATATATATGTTTATAGTACATATATAATAGATAGAAAAAATTCACCACTAATTTTAATTTATTTTAATAATTTTTTGCTTTATTGAAGACTTCTTGCGTTATTAGTATTGATCATTGAGATATTTTAAAAGCTTTTTAATTTAACTATCAATATTTTTTGCTTTCACTATTGATCATTGATTTGTTACTACTATACTACTTCAATTAATAATATTTTATTAATTGCTAATAATTTATTCATGAAATAAATAATTGCTATTTTTAATAATTTTACTTGCTTCTATATTTCTGATGCTGTTAATTTCTTTTTTTTCTTTAGTCAAGTTAATCTGTTTTTTTACAAAAAAACATAAAAATATTAAAGAAAATACCCTATTAATTTCAATTCTCAAAATTCTTACATCAAACCAATTAGAATTAATTGAACCCAATAAGAAATCTTAATATTAATAAATTATTTTAAAATCTTAATATTTTTAGATTATAACAATAAATGATGAATATTTACGCTCAATTAAGAATCCTAATATTGAAGTTGAAAAAAATAAATACTATAAATATATATTATTTATATATTTCAGATTCAATAAAGACGCACATACATCTTCTAAATGAAATAATATTAATATAAATATTAATATAGACAAAAATCAACAAGAAATTAATTATAAAAAATTAAATAAGTATAAAACAACAAGCAGTACACACGTTGAAAAGAAAAACACTAAGGTACATACTAAATTTATAACTCGTGATGAATACTAAATTTACAAAATTAAAACGGACATTTAATAACTCATAATAAATACAGTACTCATTCATGCAATCAATCAGTCCAGAAAACCACTCTCGTGGACTATTTGTGAAATCACACACTTCCATTAACATTCACAAACCATATTATCTTGCAAAACAAGTTCATATATTCATATATATAATAATATGCAGCAGGTATACAACCGGTAATGACCAAAGTGTGTATTAAGAGCTCAAAACAGTTCTTTTCAATCGACCAAAGAGTCTCTGTTCGGTCGAAAAATTGGTAGTAGATCCTCTTACATTCCATTAGCATCAAGGGAGTTAACTGCACAAGTAAATCAGTAAAACAAGCAAAGGAGAAAGTCTGATGTAAACAGAAAGTTAGACTTTCCAGGAATAAAATTTTTACCATACCATAATATGAAAAAGTATAAGCTTTATATTAAATTTTGCATATCTCATTGCACATGAGAAGTAACGTCGTATGCTTGTGTGCAAAGGAAGAGTAAGTGTGAAGAATGATGATTATAATTATTTTCCAGGTGACATGAGAAATTCTCTTATTTTTCATCATCACCCCAAGCATCCTCAATCATTTTTTGTCTTGTAATGATGCGATTCTTTCTTGCCTCTTCCTGATTCTTCAACTCAATAGAACCAAAAGCTCTAGAAGGTAACTTCATTCCCATTCCTTGTGCAATCAACCGCTGGGCAGTTCTTGTTGACGTTTGTGGCCTTCGACGAGGAGGTTCCATATCTGAAGAAAGAACAATGTAATTGTCGTTAAATACTAACATAGTCCAAAGCATTATGGAAGGTAAATGAACAGCTTTTAATCCCCAAGCAAAATACAAACACAATTTTAGTTTTTTAGCTCAGTAAGATGATTAATAGACACATTCTCAAAGTCCATCCAACCGCCAAAACTGCTCTCTTGCAATAAGAAGCTTTGACTCTTGGCAAACAGGGAGATAACCAGTTTGCAGGAATGGAACTTGATAAAGTGCACGAGAAACAAGAATTTCAAACATGAAAAAAAATGGAGAAAGGAAAACAGATAACTTTTAATATGACCAGTACGTAGCAGAATCTTGTTCCATGTGGTCCCAGTCAAACTGTTACATGATAATCGACAAGTTCTGTGCAGCCCTGTTTGGCATAAATGAATTGTACTAAAATTTATGAAACTGATTTGGAAGTTACCTAAACTGAATTGTATCAATTTGAAAATGAGTTTCACACTTCAAATTTATATAACAAACAAGTTGTAAGGAGCTTATTGAAATTAAACATAAAAAACTTGGGGAACTAGAGCCCAACAATAATGAATCTGACCTCTGCTTGATGCCCTTTTGTTAGAGAGAAAGCACAGAAAAAGGGAAGAATACAGAAAAGAATGACACTGCCAAACAGAATCAATTCAAAACCCATCCCCATTCCCCAACCCTGAAAAATAAAACTAATAGTAATAATAAAATAAAAAGGTTTGAAAAATATTCGAATAGTTTATTCTAGCAGTTTCAAATAAAAGCTATAAAATTCAACATTTTCTGAAAAATGAAAAAAAAAACAAGAATCAGAGTTACATTTCATTAATTCATTCTAGGTTGGGCTTCCGAATAGCTCTTTTGAAATTATACCAACCATGTTGTATCTCTTGCTTTTGCATTGAACTTCTTTGAAATTCAGAAGAAACAAGAGTTCAGCAAGAAAATGTACCTCTAGCTGGGATTGAACCCAGAAGGATATCATCCTCATCAAGAATACGCACTGTAAATGGACACTGAACATGATTCTGCGCCTCAAGAGCTGCAGTAGAAGAAATAGAATCACATTTATTAGAATAACCAATTATGGAAAATTAATAGAAAGGCAAACTTCATAGAAAGCACAATACAGGGAGCAAGTTGCTAGTTTTTGAATGATGAGTATAAAAATGCTTCATGTAATCAGCCAAACTACCATCGCCCAAGAAAACAAAGACAGATCACCTCCCATGTCCGTCCTTATGTCTGAGACTCCGAACTGAACCAACAAAGTTGGTAGAAAACCTATTTGCCAATGCAGCTAAATCCATGAATATTTGATACACTTGTAGCCACAGAAATTCCAAATATTAATTCTCAATAAGCTATCACTGAGATGAATCCAATTACAAGGCACAGCCACACAGCACATTAATTCCTTGTTGGTGGATTTCAGAGACCAATTACATACCGCCATGATGCATCTTCAGCAAGAATATTAGTAATAAAGCACGCTAGTTGGTGCCACAACTAGTTTAAGATGAAAAATTATGGCACTGCATTTAATCATATAACATGAGAAGTCAGTTAATTCCAGTTACCAATTGATGGTGTTTGGAAAACCGCAAGTGCCACTGTATCATTGACCCAGCGAATGACAACTCCATGATCTGTGTAGTCCTGGAAAAGCTTCTCAAGCTCTATTGTCCTTGTACTCGGAGGAAAGTCGGCGAGAACAAGAATATGACGTGTACCATATTTAGCTGGAGCCAAATTTGCACAAAGGATGTTAAGTGATGCATATCATCAGTCAGTCTCATGTTGAATTGAACAGAAACAGTATTAATCACAAAATTTGCACAGAGAACCTTAAATGATGCATATCATCAGTCACAGTCTCATGTTGAATTGAACAAGTGAAGTTAAAGTTCTCAAGGTTTTTTCCTTATCATCAGTCCCAATAAGTTCCAATCACTACAACGCTCATGTTTGGCATAAAGCTAATAAAAGCGTTCACATCAAACTAAGATGTAGTCACAGAGAGCCACATTTCTGTGGAAAGATGAGCAAAAGCTATCAAAATGGTGTAATGCCAAAAGGTTTACCCTTTATCCAATGGTAAGATAGCTCTAACATGAATGAAAGGTCATAAGTTCAAGCCACAAAATCAGCTTTCTTATCAAAAAGGAAAGATATTCTGCAATTTGGAAAGCCTTGTGCTTTATTTTGCATGTCTTATATGTCATAACAGAATCATGGAAAAATCTTCACTTTCATCTCAGCATGCAAGAGAGATCATACTTAGAGGACACTAAGCACAAAGAACAGCACTTGGTTGAGGTTGCATCAAATGAAACGAAGAAAAGGAACAATAAAGTAATTATGTAGGAGGCCAAGTGGATGCAGTTCATGAAAAATGTGGAAGTTACTTGATTGAATTAATAGTTTTGAAGATTTATACTTCTGTTATTAAAGGAGATTCAAACAACCTTTAGAATGTACAAGGTTTTTTAAAAAATAAAAATATTAAAAGAAAGAGGATAGAAAGATAAAGAGTTGGATGGTTTTGTTCAATCTTATGTAACTGTTGAAACAGGAATGAACATGTTTATCTTTCCTCCTATTCTTACATATCAACAATATTTAAATCTTGTTTGCCACTAAATCCATGTCAATTTCTTTTTAATTGGAATGTCGCTGAGACAGGAATGCATCTAAGTTAGTGTTCTTATTTCTGCTATACTTTTTTATGCTCAACACTTGTAATAAATACACCGTATCTAATTCAAATTGAAGTCCTATAAATTTGACCCTTCAACTTAAGTATTTTGTCCTCACATAAAATCCTGTTACATTTGTCTATGGTTAATATTTTCTTCACTTTCACCATCCTTTAAATAACAAAGCCAGGTATAACATAATTCTCTTTAACTAGTGACACCTTTTCCATTTTCTCTTCTACTGCTAAAATGGGGTAGGAATTAGTTAAAAATGGCTCTAATTTACCCTTGATTACAAATAAACTTGCCCCTTTCTTTTCTCCAACAAAAGATTATCAGCCTGCACTCATTGTGAATCAAAAGGTGCTAAAGTTAATTTTCTCCCATCCTTTGTTAAAGAAGAAGTTCCTTTGATTCTATTATGAAGAGCAAATCTGTTAACATGCCATTTTATGTAGTCAATCTTACCTCACTACCTTCATTTAGCCACTAAAGCTTGTATGGATGAGGGTATATGGTGGTAGATAATCCTAGTCTTTCCACAAAGTAAGCAGAAGCTATATTTATGCAACTATCTTCATCAATATTAACTCTACTAACTGAGAAACGTGATTTTGAAATGAATAATTTGAGGCTTACAATGTATTGATTTTGTATTCATTTGCTCACTTTTGCACAAATTGTCATCCTCTTTATCGCCAGAAAATGACATATAAGATTGCCTATCACTATAAAGTTTGTCCTGCTTATACGAGAATGTTCCCCTTCCACGTCGCTTAGGGCCTTGAACTTTATTATCTTCAAGTGAAAGATTTGATACACTAGGTAAGCTTGGTTGGAAGAGTAATTCATTCGGTGCCCAATCTGCAATAGCTTCCCAATCTGTGATACACCACAGCATGATTTAGAACATATATAAAATATGTGATTTCCAGAACAGCTTTAACAAGACAAAGGAACACATTCAAACTGAGAATATAACAACATAAGAATGTAAGTTTAAATTTGGGAAATTAACCTAATTCTTAAAAATAAATAAAATAGAACCGCCGCCCCACTCCAAACATATGTTTATAATCCTTGAACATGCAGCCATACATGTTAATTTACAATTTAAGACCTAAAGTTAACATTGCATCCTTCAGCAACTAACCATGACCATCAAACTGATAGCATTCCAGATCCAAGCCCAAGGCCCTTTCAAGTTATTCCAAAAGGGGCAACAAAGAGAGTAGAAGAATATGGATTGGGAATCAAGAAAGTTTACCAAGTCAGGTGAATTAGTTTTGTATCTGTCTTTTTGCTGCAGGGGAAGATGTAGGGCTGTCAGTTTGCAACAAGTAAGCTAGAATAGGCTTGATTGTAGGTGGAACAATAATCATTAATTAGGTTTATAACCTTTGAATTAAAATTATGAGGAAAATAAGATGATTTACAATGCTACTAGTGCTGTCTATTTATAGTGATAAATCCTTTGTAAGGGTGAACAATAATCATTAAATTAGGTTTATAACCTTTGAATTAAAAAATTATAGAGGAAAATAAGATGATTTACAATTGCACTAGTGCTGTCCTATTATAAGTGATAAATCCTAACTAGACTAGGAATCCTAATTAAAAGAAAGAAATAAAACTCTACTCCTAATTTAGTGATAAAATAGTAAATCCTAATCAAATAAGAAACGGAAAACTAATGCAAATCTGAAAAAAACAGTAAATTAAATAAAATCCTAGTTGTGCTAAGAATCCAATTAGGACTAGGAATTGCTCCTGCCATCATTCTCCCCCCGGGTTTGAAAGACATCGGCTCCGACGAGTAAAACCTTAAAGATCCTTCAGGAATGCATAACTTATTCCTTTGAATAAATAACCATCTTGCAATGTATGGCAAAAGACTTTCACTTTTTGAAGAATGCAGCAAAAATCAACCTTTATCTTGCCTAAAACATGAATTTGGAATCATACTGGTTTTCAACAAGATCTTCTAATTTGAGTGCTCAAAATTGACAAAATTGGGGATCTTCTGCTCAATGCATCAGCCACAATATTAGATTGACCGGATTTATACTTTAGTGAGAAATTAAATTCATCAAGGAAAGAACTCCACTTAGCATGTCGATTGTTGAGTTTATTCAGAGATTTTAGATACCTCAAAGCCTGATGATCAGAAAAAACCACAAACTCACGATAAGCTAAGTAATGCTGCCAATGTGGAATGGCTCGTACCAAGGCATAGAACTCTAGATCATAAGTTGAGTAACGCTTCTTAGCTTCAGACAACTTCTTACAAAAAAACTCAAGAGGTCTACCCTCTTGGCTAATAACAGCTCCAATCTCTTCATGTGAAGCATCACATTCGACAATAAATAATTTCTCAAAATCTGGAAGTGCAAGAACAGGTGCTCTAGTCATCAAAAACTTGATTCTTTCAAATGCCTTTTGTGCAAAATTTGTCCACTCAAACTTTTCGTCTTTCATAGATTCAATTATAGGACTCATAATTGAACTGAAATTTTGGATAAATCCCCTATAGAAAGAGGCCAAACCATGAAAGCTTCTAACTTCTTTGATGGATTGCGGTGCTGGCCATTCGGTAATTGCACGAACCTTTTCTGGATTTGGTTTTAATCCTTCATCTGGTTTTAATCCTTCAGCAGACACAATGTATCCTAAGAATACCACTTCTGGTTGTAGAAAACTACATTTTTCAGGTTTATGTGCAGCTGCTCTTGACGAAGTACTTCTAACACTTGTCACAAGTGTTTTAAATGATCTTCCTCGGTGCGGCATTCAAATAACCCATCTGATGTCTTAAAAGCTATTTTCCATTCATCACAATGCCTCATTCTAATTTGGTGATATCCACTTTTCAAATCAATTTTGGAAAACACTTTAGAACCCACTAGTTGATCAAGCATATCCTCCAATCTTGGTATTGGGACTTATGGAAAGCGATATATTTTGATTGTAATCTTATTTATAGCACGGACTATCCACACACCATTCTCCAAGAACCGTCTTTCTTTGGTGTTAATAAAGGCTAGGGCACGGGCACATGGACTTTTCACGTTTTACCCAGCAACTAGACCTTTTCCAATTAATTCCTTAACCTGTTCTTTCTATTTCAGCTCGCATATAAGGTAGGCATTTGGTGTGCATGTTGGATGCTTGCTTAACGGTGCGCAAGTTTTTTGGTAAGCTACTCCTGGGTACCCAAATCAATAGCACATTGTTGGATGCTTCTTAGGGTGCAAGCTTTTCAGACATCTTGCACTAAATCAACTCCTTGAATTCCTGCAAATAACTAAACGGTTGAATTCCAAAGGAACTATTCCAACTGATTTTTCAACCTGGTCAGCTCCTATCGTTTGCTCACTAAGGCATACGTGTACTCCCACCTCCACTATGCTCAGCTGCAAATTCTTTTACACTTACAAGCCCATTTTAATTTACTAGTCTGCCAGCTCCTTTAATTTTGCCTATTTGCCTTTGTTTCTTCCTTGAGAGTGGGATGCACCCCTAAGTGTACTTCTTGTTGTCCCTGCTAGAACGAATAAGTATTAGGCCTTGTCTTCTATGGTCCATATCATGATCATACAACCAAAAGGTCATCCCACTAGAATATGCCCAACATCCATTGGTACTACATTCAATCAGTGCTTCATCTGCCAGTCATCTTCATTGTTGCAATTGCCACTAAGCATTAAGATTTACTTCATATCTCGTTGTCCTTTCTTCAACCAACCTACTTTGTATGGATTGAGGACGTTTGTTGTAGGAGCTTTAATTTTTCTACAGGCTCCTTTGATATTTATATTTTCCATACTTCCTCCATCAATGACTAAATTACACACTTTGCCTTCCACAAAATAACACATTTGTACAGACAAAAATTGCTATGCCTCCTCCAATCTTCTTTTACCTTCTTTTGTTCATGGCTATCATTGACGTTTCGAACAACTTTAAAGACTCACCTTGAGCTGGTATTGTTTAATGAACATTAATTTCTCTCTACTTCCTCATCATGTATTCATCAAAAAAAGAGGCCTAGGTCTCCGTCATTACTCGGCTGGAATTCACCTCACTCTTTCGTTGACAAACATGAAATAAGTATATCCATTTATCTCACAACAAGACAAACGAAACTTTGAGAATTGTTGCCCTCCATTATAGACGAACCAAAATTGTTTTGTCGCACCATAACTACCTATACCTTTCCCTTTATCGTTCCTTATCAAACACAGAGTTGTCTCTTCCATTGTATTTATTAGTAGCGCAGCCTCTTCCCGCTTCGTTAGTTGTTAATCTGCTCTTGCAGCTCCGAAATTATGATATATAGCCAATTGCTTCTATTTTATGGCCTTCTTAAGCACCACGTAACAGATACACTTCCAACTTTTCAGGCTTTGCTAAGGCACTATTGGCGAGCATCTTCAGATTGTGTAATCAAAACTATGCCCATTTCATCGTCTATAGGGACTGATTTAACACCCAGCAAGACCGGTTAGCAAGAGGTAATTGTTTCATTACTTTCAGCAATATTTTTCCAACTACGACATGGACAATTATTAAATTTCTGCAGTGTACTTCTTTCAAGTAGTGGAACCTTTCATTATTAGTTCCCGTAGCGTAATCAGCTGCGTTAAAAATTCCTTCCCTATAGCTTATTTTTCCATGTGCTCCCACTTGCCTGGATTTTAAGTTTTTTGTGTGCGCACGCTGCTCCTCAAACTCTCTTCCACCATTGAAGTCGAGATACTCTTTAATTTAAGCTCTTACACGAAAAGCAAACTGTTTTCGGAGTTTTCAACCATGGTTTCCATTTCAAAATAATTTTCTAAAACTAGCTTTCCCAATCTAAATAGTCTGTCGGTTGGCATGCGATTTCCATGAAAAATCAGCAACTTCAATTTTTAACTTCTCCACTATTTAAATCCAAGAGTTTGAAGTAACTCTCTTCCAATCTGCCTTGTTGCTGCTGGATTCAAGTCCAAGCTTCATGAAAGGGGTTTACGTCCTCGACTTCCTCTTCACTCTCAAAGAGCTTCTTGAAAATCAAGGTTTTGGTGGTTGCCTTCCAGGAAGTCTTCCATTCGAGCTATCCACGGGGTTTAATGACGCTGCGAGGCTTGTACAGCCCGGGTCAAGTCCTTGTATCTGCTTTTAAACAGGCCCAAAATCTAAATTCTATGCCTCATGGATTATATGACATGCTTTTACCTTGTTTCCTAGTTCACCCTTTTGAATTGAGTATATTTATATGGACCTTGTTGCTTGGATTACCTAGACTTAGGCGTGCATTAAAGACAGTATATTGATTTTTTTATAGTTTGTTTGATAGATTTTAGCAAGGACTGGCTCATTCATTTCCTTGTCATAAAACCTGATTGATGCCAATCAATGTGGCTGATTCTATTCTTTAGAGTAAGTGGTAAGGTTTCATGGCGGTGCCACGAACCTATAGTTTCTGATAGGGATGCAAAGTTCCTTTCACACTTTTGGAGAGTTTTGTGGGGGTAAAGTTTCGGTTACTTAAATTACTTTATTCTACCACTTTGTTTTTTTTCTCATCCACAAATAGTATGGACAAACTGAGGTTTTGAATAGAACTTTAGGACCTTGCTTTGTGTTATGGTGGGTTAAAAAACTAAATAACTTGCTTGTTGCTTATTGTGTGGGTAAAAACTTTGAAAACTTGGGAAGATTGTTTGCCATTCATTTGAGTTCGCATAATCATCGATAGCATACATTATGTTACTTCAGGTTTCAATCCATTCGAGCTTGCTTTTCATGGTTTTACCCACTAACTGTGTTAGATTCTTTGTTCCTTAACCTTTAAATGAACTTTCTAATGTTAGATGGTGTTCAAAAAGGCAGAGTTT